CAAGGTTCCTAATGCCCGGGATTAGTCTTGTCATTCTCCTCTGAATTCTTTCAAAGGATTCTATATCCATTCTGTAATACGGTGACCAGAACTGAACTGCGTAATCCAGGTGTGGTCTCACAAGCTCAAGATACAGTTTTGGGATGACCTCGCTAGTCTTGTAACTAACACTCCTTTGTATGAACCCAAGTACTTTTTTAGCCTTGTTACTCGCAAAAACACATTGTTTACTTGGCTTAAGGTTCCTACTTATCATTACTCCTAAATCTCTCTCGCAGTCGGATTTCTCTATGGCATCGTTGTTCATCTGGTATCTGGTTTCCCTGTTTACATCTCCTATACTGAGTAATTTACATTTGTCCACGTTGAATTTCATATGCCATTTTTCAGACCATTGGAAAAATTTGTTTAGATCTTCATTTAGTTTTGCTGAGTCCTCGTCAGATTTAATAACACGTCCTATTTTAGTGTCATCAGCAAATTTACTTGTGTTGCTGTCTATGCCGATATCTATGTCGTTTATGTATATAATAAATAATAATGGTTCAAGTACTGAGCCTTGGGGAGCTCCACTTATGACGTTGCTCCAATGGGACTTAATGCAGTTAATGCTCACTCACTGTTTCCTGTCCTGTAACCACGCTCTAATCCATTTAAGGATGTTAACTTTGATACCATGAGCTTCTACCTTTCTAATTAGTCTTTCGTGGGGGACTCTGTCGAAGACTTTGCTAAAGTCGAGATATACCACATCATAATTGTGCCCCTCGTCCACCGATTCCGAAACTGATGAAAAGAATGTTAATAGATTAGTTAGGCAAAACGTCGCTTGTGAAGCCATGCTGGGAATCATTGATCAATCGGTGCTTCTCAGGTGATTTCGAATAGAGTTTGAAATGATTGCTTCCAGTAATTTGCCTACTATTGATGTTAATTAGTTGGACGGTAGTTAGAGGATAGTGATCTATCCCCTTCTTGAAAATCGGTATTACATTCGCTATCCTCCAGGATTCTGGTACTACACCTGTTTTAAGGACATGTTAAACAACTGCTAGGGCATACTAAGCTCTTCCTTACATTCCTTTAATACTCTGGCAAATATCTCATCGGGACCAGGTGACTTATTAGGCTTTAGTTTGTCTATTTGCTTACTAACATCGTTACTAGTCACTACTATCTCACTTAATTTGTTTTCTTCACTATCTCTGAATAGAGTCGGTGCCTCGGGCATCATGTTTAAATTTTCGGTGGCCAATGTCTTATAACTACTCAGATATCCAACTTCATTCACAACGCTAGGTGGCAGCACTCATCCACACGCCACTAAAGGACAGCATTAGTACTCCCGCTCATTCACGCCATACAGTGGTTCACTTACTCGGCTCGTTCGCATTACAGTACATAAACATCACACACCTCCCCCCGAAGACAATGGGGTCCTCTTGAGGATCTACGATGTCTGGATTCAACTTTTCATCTAATCGCCATAAGTCTGACAATCCCATCGCATCTTCAGTCGCTGTGGCGCTCCCCGCTGGCGGTCACTGCGGCATTAGTGTGTGTCATACGGAGGCGAATTTTTTTTTTTGAGTTTGAAAAATCGGCCCATGGTATTAATGATGTAGTTCTATGTGCAGAATCATGTGATATCTTCAGATTTGAAAAGTTTTCATTTTTTGCTAGGTAAATTTTAACTTGAAATCTTATGAAAATTCAGTATTCCCACCCTTTTACCAACACCACTAAATAGCTTATTTAAAGTAAAGTAAATGTATCAGGTTAATTTATTAGGATGAAAATGATCCAGAATAGTGAAACGAATGATCTTGACACATTTATTAAATTTAATATTCCTTTAGAAAACAAAATCATCAAATACAAAAACCGGTTTTACTACTACGACCCGGTGTTGCTGCACACCATAGAGAACATGTCTTTCTTGCTTCTGTTTCTACTCATCACCTCCTGCTGACCTGCCTGAGCTCGGATGTGGCCTTCCCTCTCTCTCCTGGCTGTACTGCCGTGACTGCTGGCCACTCACTGCTGTACTGGCAGCTCTACTCTGGGTGGCCAAAGGCAGGCAGGTTTATGCATAGGGTGTCAGGAAAGCTCGGCTTGAACATTGGTGAGGCTGCAGGTAAGAGAATCTGCCAGCCTGGATGTTATCCAGATCCTAGGAGATCAGTGAGGGTCTTGGCACCCTAGATTGACTTCAGGAGTCTTCCTGACCCTGAAGGAATCGTCACCAACTGATTCATCATGCCCAGATCCTCTCATAAGTCTCATATCCAAGATCTTTTTGACTGCCACTCTTCTCTCCTCCTCATCCTTACTGCAGGGCATTGTCTGCAGAACTGCCTCGGGATGAGCATACCAGGAAGATGTCCTCACAGTCTGCTCTACAATCTGAACAACCTTCCTTGGCTGACTCCTCAGGAGCTCAAGCTGGAAGAGAATATGCCTCGGACCTTCGGAGAACGATGACTTGACCTTGGTGTTGAACCAATTTGGCAAGTAGACACTCACGATGAATTGGACAATAAGTCTCCCAGGTTGTGAAGCTGGTTCCCTTTCAGTTTATGATGAGCGACCCAAATTCTACAGAGACACAAAGAGAGCCATTTGGCCCAGGCCACCTAGAATGTGAGACTGGACCTATCTGCAGGTGACAAGTCTATCAGAGCAAGACCCCAGTTTGATGGCACCGTCGTGTAACCACCAGTACTGGTCAGTACTCAGGTCGTCAATGACGGTAATGCAAGCTCAGCGAGTAGAGGGAGCCAACTGTGATTTTTCAAGAAGCTCGGATATATTTCCTAGCATAATTGGCAGAGTCCAGCATCTTGCCAAGAGGACCAGACCATCTGTTGTTTGAAAGGAGTCTTGCCATCCAGCTCCTGGATCAGATGTCTGAGTGGCAACTCGTTGGTGTGGAGGTCACAAACAATCCAGCCCAGCTTCCTCCCAATCTTCCGCTCTATCCACTGTATGACCCCCCCTTGCCACCCTGTGTTCGTGTTGGTGCTGTCCCCTCCAATGGCCTGCAGGGTCTGGTCTACGTTCCTCTCTCTGAGCCAGTTCACAATGTTATCTGCCACTTTCTCAGCTGGTTTCCTGATGTCATCTTTCTCTGGAGTGAAATGCCACGAATACTTCCCTCCTGGTTCACTGCAGCAGGAGTAGTGTTCCTCCTTCACCATGGCAGGGAACAACTTGTCAGAATCTCCAACTTTCATGAACACTTTAGTGTCATCCCTTCTCCCATCAAAGAACAAACTATTGATTCCATTTTCTCTTATCCCCTTATCAAACTCCTCTTCTAGGTTACTGACAAGTTTCTCCTGAGCTCTCCTTACTTTGTTATTATCTATCACCAGGTGAACATCATCAGGTGTTATCAAACCACCGTCAATCCAGGCAGCTGTTGCTATCTCTGCAGTTTCTCTGAGACCAGTGTGGTGTCGCATGCTGGCCAGAGCTATGCTCGGGATATCTTTCCTATTTCGAATCTTATGCCTGGAAGGTTTGGGATCCTTATTTTCTGGGTTAGGGACAAAGTCACCATTCTCCTGGACAGCACTCGGACCAGCCATGGGGAAGTCATTAAACTCTGAATCAGCTTGACTCCAATCATCGGCCTTTTTTACCTCACCCTGGGCCTTCTCAAGTCTCTTTTCCTCGGCAACTCTTCTCCTCTTCTGTCTCTCTGTGGCAGCCTCCTGTCTCTTGGACTCCGGAATATCTTGGCTAGAAATCATGAGAGCCCCTATACTTCCAGTCTTCTCTCTCTGTGCTTTGACAAATGCCAGTTCGATCACAGGAATCTTCAGTTCACGCTTGCAAATACAGGAGATGTGGGCCTCGGGTTTACAGTCACGATCGCATCCAAACTCAGGACAGAGAACAATTGGGCACTTGCAAGTAATTATGTCAAATAACTGGTCCAGTTGCTTGGCAAAGCTGTCTTAACTGCAATTTCCTCTCCCAAGAGAGATATCTCTTGCCTTTTCCCAACTGGCTAGCAGTCTCTCACTAATCTTCTTCTGACTTGTTATGACTGGAGGCTTGAACTGAGGCGTTAGCCAGAGTGTACTGTGCCAAGACAGCTTTGGTCATATCACTGGCAATGTCTTTGTTTGTGCAAGTTCTTTGGTTCTTTTCACTGATTTGCCTGATTAAAACACCGTATCTCAAAGCATCTCTCAATGTAGGCAACTCCGACTTCAGGAGCTCTCTCCCAGACCCAAGATAGTGACTGAGATGGCTGGATTTTTGGTTCCTCGTCCTGACACAAGCAGCCATCGCAAATATTATCAACTTATAAATGCATCAGAATCTGAAACAGAAAAAAATATTGTTAGTTGGGTTGTTAAAGAATGAAGTCAGAAAGCAATGTTCACTATTTAATTGTAATGCACTAATGCAGCTGTATGTTAGATTTTCGATAAATTTCACGCTAAAATTTACCTAGCAAAAGGTTGCAAAATATTGAAACTGAAATTATTTTCTGTTTATATACACTAAAATCTACCAAAAAAGTGATGGGCCATTAGTTTTAGCTGATCTTCCCTCCTATGACACACCCTACTGCGGCATGGCGGAAGCTGCAGGCTCGGATGCTCCTCCGAACCTACGCATGGCGGTGGGCGCGGTGTAGGACTCTCGATGCTGCCTCTTTCCTGTGGAGTCCTCGCCTCGGATAGATTCCAAGACGCTCTTTGGCACCAACGGACGATGGGGACAGAGGAACTTCCTATTCCTCAACAGGATGCGGCCACTACCCATTTTGACAAGGTAGTCCCGACGAGATCCTATACCCACGACAACACCTACGTGGTCCCATCGACTGCTCATGTGGTCCTGCACGTCGACGGAGGCGCCAAGGTGCAGCCGTGGAAGCAGTCGCGCCGTGGAGTCGTGTCGTGATTTCGTCTTTCTTCTGAGGTGCTCAGCCTGTCACATTCATCAGCTGCGCGTTGCCACTCTGGAGCAAACGAGCGATGGTGTGCAGGTACTGCCGACCTCATAGGGTGACTGAACAGTACTTGCGCTGGTGACTTTATTTTCTTTCTGAATATCGTGCAAGTACTGAGGAGTTTTCTTCTTTTTTTCCATGAAGAGTTTTCAGCATTTACATGTAGTAAAACGTGTTTATTAGAAATCATAGTTTATCTTGAAATTGGCATAGTAACCTTCGGCATTTGGCATCCCTGGAGAGTTTGAGCAAAAAAAAAGTGAAAAATACTCATTAGAATATTTATATACCTCGACATCTTTAATTTTTCTGTGTGTGGTCCAACTCTAGTGAGGTGCTTGGTATAAACTTTACTGCCCTCCTTTATATATATTCGTATGTGAGTGTGTGTGTGTGTGTGTAGTCGAGTTAAAACCTTGAAAGGCTTAAGGATGCACATGATATTCCCTGTAATAGCGCACAAATAGTGGGGTAGTGAGGTGAGGGGGCAGAGGGGGCAATGTGCCACCGGGTGTTGGGAAGCGCCAAAATTATAACCAGTTTATCCAAAATTTACCATTTTATAAGACCATGAGTCACCAAAAATGCCGTTATACTTGATATCAAATATTTGAATATCATTAGAAATATCTTAGTACTTAACTTGAGTGATTGGTCAATGAACTAAAGCATTAGTAAGTCACATATAATACCTCCTTTCAACGCAAAATCACTTTCTATGGGATGAATTGTTTTTTTCTGCATTTATCCGACCACAGTACCCTTCCAGACATCAAATATTCATGACATTATGGTGAGCCTTCAGATACGATACAGTAACATGATAGGTAATATTGTCATGTAACATTACTAGTTAAAAACTGAGTCTAAGGCGCAAGTGAACTTTTTTTTTTAGGGACGGCGTAAATTTATGTTTTGCCCCCGGGCACCAGAAGCCTTTACTTATCAAATCAAACCTAATGAAAAAAAGACGCCTTGTGGCCATCATTCAATCAATCAATCAGAGTTCCGTCCTAAAATCTGAAGGTTGGTGACCACAATCCCCCACTCTAAACATTCTCGAGCTGTTTTTACCAAACTCCAAAGGTTTGTATCTCTCTGGAGACTCAGTTTTTAATTTCACCCTTCCATCCCCAGTCTCTGCCTTCCCCTGGCCCTCCTACCCTCAATTTTGTCCATTAATATTTTTGTTATTATCGTCGCATCCCTAATTATATGACCATAACATGTAAAAAGAGTCACAAGAAAAAGATTGTTTCGATGATAGGATATTATTGAATCTATAATCAAATGCGAAGATAATTATGTAGTGTACGAACTAATCCTTTACAGATTCATCTCCCTCGTGCACATGATGGTGTGTCTAGCCGGCTGGTGTATTATCCTGCTGCATATACTGTATGAGTAATATTTCCATGAATTTTACTCAACAAATACTAATAGCTTATTTTCTATGAAATTTTGTAAGTGAACACACAATCATAAAGTAATTTCATATCGATAGTAATTACAATGAATAAACACACACAAAATTTTTGTATCCTCCTCCATCTGGTTTGGAAACCAGCCAATCAGTACAGAAGGAGTATTACTACCGCCGCGGAGGCGATGCTGTACGAAGAATCTACACCAATTTGAGCTATCTTGGGGTTGAGAAATTTTAATTTTATAACCGTGGGGACTACTTTGTCACGTGACCCAGGAACATTCATGGAGTCAGTGTCGTCTTGGAGCAGCTAGTGTGCTGAAGAGCTCGGTGTTTGAAGGTGCTGGCCACATTGATACCCGAGTATTATGAGTGCGGAGCACCCAGTATGAGGTTGTCTATCTCATCTACACACTGGTTCCAGGGGCCTATAATCACCATAATGTATCACTGAAGCATTGAGCTAGATGCCCTAGAGTCTCTGGTATCTTCAGTGAGTCTGGCGCCCAGATCCTCAACTTTTATGGGGCATATTTGTACCTTTTCTCCCCTCTCTTGTTTTGTGAGAAATAGCTCATCCAGGCATGAATAAGTCACCTTGACCATTGTACTTGCAGGAAGATGGCCGGCGGAGGCAGCAGAGGTGGGGCAGGGGCCCGAGGCGTCCTTGGTGGCGGTGAAGGGCCCCGGGGTGGCCTGGGTGGCAGTTCGGGGACCGGACTGGAGCAGCGCAGCGGGCAGGGCACAACAGTACAGTGTGGGTCACACCAGTACCGCCTCGGTCTCTATGGCTGGCGAAGACGCTGCCTATACACCCTCGTTCTGCTCCTGTTGGTGATGGTCATTCTCAACCTCGCCCTAACCCTCTTCATCCTCAGGGTCCTTGACTTTACAATGGTGAGTGTAGCATTAACAGCGTGAGTGTGATTGGTCCTGGACTGTCTTAAGTTGAGTGTGAGTGGTCCTGGACTCTCTTAAGGTGAGTGTGAGTGGTCTGGTCTCTCTTAGGGTGAATGTGAATGGTCCTGGACTCTCTTAAGGGGAGTGTGAGAGGTCCTGGACTCTCTTTAAGGTGAGTGTGAGTGGTCCTGGTCTTCCTTATAGAGAGTGTGAGTGGTCCTGGACTCTCTTATGGTGAGTGTGAGTGGTCCTGGTCTCTCTTCAGGTGGGTGTTAGTGGTCCTGGACTCTCTTTAAGGTGAGTGTGAGTGGTCCTGGTCTTACTTATAGAGAGTGTGAGTGGTCCTGGACTCTCTTATGGTGAGTGTGAGTGGTCCTGGACTCTCTTAAGGTGTGGTGTTAGTGGTCCTGAATGGTCCTGGACTCTCTTAAGGGGAGTGTGAGAGGTCCTGGACTCTCTTTAAGGTGAGTGTGAGTGGTCCTGGTCTTCCTTATAGAGAGTGTGAGTGGTCCTGGACTCTCTTATGGTGAGTGTGAGTGGTCCTGGTCTCTCTTCAGGTGGGTGTTAGTGGTCCTGGACTCTCTTTAAGGTGAGTGTGAGTGGTCCTGGTCTTACTTATAGAGAGTGTGAGTGGTCCTGGACTCTCTTATGGTGAGTGTGAGTGGTCCTGGACTCTCTTAAGGTGGGTGTTAGTGGTCCTGGACTCTCTTAAGGTGGGTGTTAGTGGTCCTGGACTCTCTTAAAGTGATTAGCATAAATCCTCTTTTTGGGTAAAGATGCCACGTCGAGTCCGTCATCTAGACTCACCGACACATCTGACCACCACATTAAATTAAACCAGGGCTGAGATCAAATAACTTTGTCAAATACGTACATGTATATGGCAATTTTGCAATTGTCAAATACATTTGCATATTGTTTTATTTGTCAAATACAAATATTTTATTTTATTTTATATATATATATATATTTTTTTTTTACGGGGATTAGCCCACCCGGGCACACGTCACTGACCCACATCTGGGCCAGAGGGCCAAAATGTAATAATAATATTAACAATAATATTAATAATGATAATAATAACAATGATAAAAATAACAACAACACTAATAATAATAATAATAAAGAAATACAAAAATGAAAAAAGATCAATAGTGAGAACTGAGAAACGATATACTGTATGTATGTTGTGTTGTCAAAGTAGGAGAAACAATTGAGACCCTGCAATCGTGTGTAAATGAGGCAGAAAGTCAGATCAACAACCTGGGACTTGGTCACAATTTTCGTGACTCCAAATGGCAGCAGGGTCAACCATTAGACAATTCATTATGCTTCCAATATCTTCCCAGGCGGTAGTACCTCCCTGTTTGATAGCTGTCTACTACCTACTACCTACGAAGACGAGTTCTCACATTGGATATTTGTGACTTTTATCAATGAATCCTTCAATTTTTTCTGAGTGCTCATATTACAAGTAAACAGAAGTAAACATAAATCAAAAATATTGTGTTAATAATTTACAAAAACAATTTGTTACTGGTTACACTCTACAAACATCAGCTCTTCAAACCGCCCCAGGTCCAGAGATAAGGGGAGAGGAGGGGGGGGAGGAAGTCAGGATAGCATTACCCAACACAGGATCAGTGACTACGCTTCCTGTTGTCATGCACAATGACCCCACCTTGCCACCCAGACGCTGGCTTACATGTATTTAAGCAAATACAGCAAATCCAAAGGTCAAATACAGATAAAATTCAAATACATTCTATTTAAATTCTAATACAAAAATGTATTTGGCTCCAGTCCTGACCACAACACCTGAACGTGTTGCCTATAAAATATATCTGGAGAACTTGACACATTAGGATAATATGGCAGTATTATTTATAAAACGATGTTTACAAGCTGAAAAATGTCTAGACACACATAATAATAATGGTTGCCCCTCGTGTAACAAGGATGGCCGGCCCAAGGGCCACCTAGGCGTGAGTTTGTTTAAGGTGTATAAGCTGTCGCCAACACAACAACCACACCCCAAGTTAACGAGTTGCATGACCCAGTGTCAAGGAATAGTCCGAGAAGGCCGTACAACTCGACAACTTTACTGGCTAACCATTACCCCGGGATACGATCCGCAAATCGATGAACATCCAGGTCCCCAATTACTGCTTGGTAGACAGAGACAAATGGCGTAAAGAAATTTGCCCATAGTTTCACCCTGCCCGAGGATCGAACTCGGGTTCGCTCGCTTGGGAGGCGAGAACACTGACCATTACACCACAGGTCAAACACACACACACACACACACACACCACCACTTCTTCCCCGAGAAGTCCGTCAGATCTCACCCAGATGACTTGCCCTGGATCACACCTCGGATCAAAAGACTTATGCAACAGAGAGATAGAGCCTTTTATCTCAATGACCACAACCGCTACAGGTCCCTTCGCAACCGAGTCATCCGCGAAATTCGCACTGCAAAGAAGTCTCACTACCCAACCAAATTGCAACACCTGAAGCAGACCAACTACAGTCAGTGGTGTGGTAAGCTTAAATAACTCTGTGGACTAGACAATAAGACACACACCCTCCCCTTTCTTAGCTATCTCAATAATGTTGACGCAGCTGAGCAATCAAATAACCATTTCGCTACTATATGCCAGACGCTCCCCCGACTTGATACAACCAATCCCCCTGCTTACCTACCAGCCCCCCTTCCCACTGACTTAGTAGAAGAATTTGAAGTAGCAAAACGTCTGGACAAACTGAAGTTACAACGCTCCACCACCCCATTGACTTACCAATGAAACTCTTCAATGAGTTCTCCCCGGAGCTAGCTAAACCCCTCTGCCCCATCATTAATGCTTCCCTCAGTCAAGCCAGATACCCAGCTGACTGGAAGACTTCTTATGTATCACCAGTGCCCAAGTCAACCAGCCCACAATTCTTAAATTAGCTACGACCCATTGCAATCACCCCAATACCTAGCTTAATCTGTGAAAGATTTGTGTTTGACTGGGCTTATGCTGATATTGCAGACACCGTAGATCCTCAGCAATCTGGTAATATGAAAACTTCCTCCACCAATCACTGTCTTATCAGCTTTCTCGACTACATATACCACCATCTGGAAAAACGAAAAACGTCTGTAGCTGTCGCCTTCATTGACTTCACCAAGGCATTTGACCTATTCGACCACAATTTAATCATCAACAAAGCTATCGACCTCGGGTTTCGAAGAAGTCTTATACCATGGCTTACAGACTTCCTCAGTAACCGACGCCAAGCTGTTCGCTTCCGAGGGGCTGTCTCCACCTTTAGTCATTCACCTGTGGTGTCCCCCAAGGCACCAAGGTGAGACCACTATGCTTCCCTATGCTTATCAATGATGCCCTAAGAGATACCCCTGCTCGCTGGAAATATGTCGACGACTCCACCATTGGGATCAGCGTCAACAATTCTGCTCCCGACTATACCGCCCTTCAGGATTTATTGAACAGTCTCCAAAACTGGGCCACCAACAACCACGTCACCATCAACCATACCAAGACCATGGTTTTGCACATCAACCTCTCCTCCGACGTTGTCCCACCCCCTTCCATTACTTTAGTTCCGAACACACTCCAGGTTGTAGATTCCACTGAGCTCTTCGGCGTCACCATAGACAACAAACTAAATTAGAAACCACACGTCAGTGAAGTTGTCAAATCCTACAGTTTCTGTCTCCACCTCCTCCGCCGACTCAAGTCCCTCGGAGTTCCTGCGCCCCAGTTCCTCAGTGTTTACTCAACATTCATACTTCCCAAGTTCACCTATGCCTCCCCTACCTGGTCTTCCTCCCTAAATGCCACACAACGTATACACCTAGAAAAAATGCAAAAGAGGGCATGCAAGATTATTCTCTCCCCTTCCTACTCCACATATCAAGAAGCGCTCAATACACTGACCCTCTCGGCTCTCTCTGACCATCACCACAACCTCATCTGCAAATTTGGTGAGAAGCTTCTGCACCATCCTCGACACCAGCTCCTACTACCACCCGAGATCCCTCGTCCGAGAATTGCTGTTCGACACCACAACCGCATCCAGCCCATACGAGCACTAACTGATCGCTATAAGAACAGCCCAGTCCCAACCATTGTAAAAATTATCAATAACTTGTAATCAACCAGTGTATTCACTCCCAGTCATTCTTACTTTTCGCACTGTCACTATGTTGAAATACCCTGTAGTTTGAGCTTCTCCACACATAATTATTATATTTAATATTTGTATCACTTATGTTACTTGTATATTATTTGTAAATCAAGAGACCCATTATATATATATATATATATATATATATATATATATATATATATATATATATATATATATATATATATATATATATATATATATATATATATATATATATATATATATATATATATATATATATATATATATATATATATATATATATATATATATATATATATATATATATATATATATATATATATATATATATTAGGGTGGTCCAAAATATCACATATTTGTATACGTTTTCTCCACAAGGTTTATTTTTGTCCATTAGGTACAAAATGCATCCCAGAAAAAAATTGGATCATTTAAAGCATATTTAGAGGTCAATCCAATGTCCTCTTTTTTTCCATTTAGTACGTAATAAGGATTTTTCGGGGCTAGATAAACACATTATAAACACATTGTCTTTATTCAGCAAAATACAATTATAAGTTTTACAAATTACAAACTAAATAACTCTAGAACACCAATACACATTCTTTATTTGTATCCCTTCATCATAGCAGCTTTGCTTGCCGTTGGTAACTTCTTGCGATGAGCTGCAACAACCTGTAAAAGGTACTGCTTTTGGTCCTCATTTTGCGTTATAGACTCATTATAACGCTCTATGAGAGCAATTGCCCTCTCTGCGCTGTCATTCACCACCTTCATATTTATCGCACGATCTCTCATTGTGATAAACACTTCAT